CCTCGTGTAGCTTTGCGCGAAATTCCAAAACAAACAAACAAAAAAGTATTAATGATTCCATATGTTGACTCGGTTGACGAACTGTAAGTTCTTATTAAATAATTATAATTTATCAATTCCATAAAACAGAAGAAATTGTTATATCTATATCAAGGGATCACCTGTATTAACAAAGTTCGCAATCAAATCAATGATGCTTTCTTCTCTCAGTTACGTTTGTTAGGCCTAAGTGGAAGTGTAAACGGTACCCACTGTCGTGAGATTTATTTTTCACACCTCAGTGCTTATGTTTTCAACCATCAGAGGAAATAAAGTTCTACTTGGTTATTAAGTTATTCTAATATGAATAATAATTATTTGTGTTACTATCCTAGACAATAGAGCTTGTATATAATCTTATGATGTCATATATTGATTCTTCCAGGTGGCGCTGTATGAAATATTAATATAATGATTTATGAAGTTCAGAATATAACTAAAATTTAATTACGTAGTTCTTAATTCCCGAATATCTTCTGAGATATGGAAAACTCTGCATTTCAAAGGTAATATTTCATTGTGTCGTTAGTGCTAAGTCAAGACATGCGCAATAGAACATTTTTGGAATCCACGAAAACTTGTAATCAGATTCTAGTTATCTATTTATGAGGGCTGTGTTTTTACGTTGTTAGAATTTTCAAAAATATAACCTGGATTCGATCCTACTTATAAAAACATTCTCGAACGAGTAATAAGAATACAATATGCAACATACATTACTTCGTTTGTAGCGATCCCCTGATGGGTGAGCGGTAAATTCCCACCCTTAAAATGCTAAAATCCAGTGTTCAATTTTCAACGTAAGCAGAGCGCAGATAATCTATTGTATTTATAGCTTTGTGCTAAAACACCCCAAAATATCGCCCGCAGCATGTTCTATATCTAGAAATAACCACTTTCTAATAATGCTGTTTAAAAGGGTCATAATAATCATTTTTTTATGCTTCAGTACATATTGTTAATATTGTATATTGGCTGGAAGTGTATGTTTGGAAAACGTGTCTCAGATTTCAACATCATTTGTATGCTATCAATAATACTAAACCACTTGATCCAGGTTCTGCTTCTGCTGTCAGTTGCCATGACATCCAAAAATGGAGAAGAATAAAGGAAGATGGAGAGCAAGACATTTATGTGCGTGGAAAAATAGTGAAGATATACTGTGCCAAAATGAACACCTCAAACCCTCAGGAATATGTATCGCTACCTAGCGGAGAGAGCAACAACTATTCTGAAGTGTACGACAAAAGGTGTGTCACTGTTACTGAAAGCGTTTTATATTACTATAATTGTAATTCTCCGTTGGTCAACTAAGAGTAGTATTTTGTAACAAGTTCACATTTCTGGGATAACGTCTGATATTCTGTTAATTGAGACTTTTTGATGTTGGGTTTAAGTAGTTGGAAGGTCAACACTACACAGATGTGATCTAATGCTTAGCATGCTGTGCTGCTGATAGGAAGGCCCTAAGTTCGAGCCGCAATATTCTACTGAACACACTGCGCACTTGCAACTGTGACAGTCAATCCCAATATTCATTTAACCATAGATTTGTCGGTTCATCGGTTTGTTAAACAAAGTTTGTAAAACTACGTACGTACCATGTTGCTTGGGAATCTCTGACTTTCTTGGTTACAGGATCCATGTGATATTTGACTACAATAATATAAACATTTCAAAAAAAATACCATAAGCATTGCAGTTAATCCCATTTATTACGGCTGGGGTTACATATGTATGTGTTCGTAGACACAGTGGTTTCACCCAACTGAGTATTGTAACAGGCAAATTATCAAATAACTCGGTGTGATGTAATATGTGGATCCCACCAGTAGTGAACGATATAAAAACAAGTCGGTAATTTAAGGGTTAAAAACAGGCGCAGAAACTGTGCTGCTGATGAATGGTCAGCAGCTCTAAGATTACAGGTGGCTATGGCCGAACTATAATGGTTTCTGATCGGGTCATTGAAATTGTGTGTCATGTCATATTAGATACCATTTAAATGAAAAACAAAAACAGAATAGTAAAAATAACCATAGCAGGAAAGAAATCGTTTATAAATACAGAAATTTATATAATGACTACTTGATATTTATAACATAATTTCTTCCGAGCCAATACAGAAATAATTTTGTTGTCGTTTTGTCAAAAGAAGTAAAAATCTTTTTTATCGAGCTTCGTGCTAATATTTCAAGGAAATCTTGAGATCTCGTGATGTGGTTTTCTGGCTACAGGTTGTTGAATCCTGACACGTGTCCCTACGGTGGAAATCGCCAGGACTCCTGTCCTTGTGTGACGGAGAGAAGGGTGGAATCAGGGCTGACCATGTTCAGAAAGCTGGCTGTGAATCTTACAACTCTACAGGTCATTAGTAAGTTACACATCATCAATTGTTTATGTTAAGATGTATAGCAGGTTACAGTGTTGTACAAGATGTTAAAGTAATTACTTGTTTATTATGTATTTATATCTGAAATCGGAATTTTTAAAATGTAACGTAAAAGATGGGCACTCATTCTCAGTTGATGACCTAAGGAGGTCGAAACGTTGTTACTTTGTTTGGGTTTTTTATATAAAGTTTTAATAAGCATATTTGCAGTCTCTGCTACATTATGTCTTGTTTCTGTGTTTACTTGATTTTTGAGCTCTTCTCAAAATTTTTGACGAAACGACTAGAAATGCAAGTCCTTGACCCACAGGTCAACATTGGGGTTCCCAACATTGGTATTAACATGTAAACATCCATTCAAAGCAACAATCTAAACTGACGTTTGGATTTATATATATATATATATATACTGCAGAATCCCGCAAGGGTTTTAAAGGGGATTGAAATATAGTTACATAAAAATTGAAATGAACCCCCATGGGGTTATTCAAAAAACAAAATTATCTACTGCTAGATTTTTACGAAATTTTCATTTTGAATGTTCTGGAAGGGGGGGGGGGCTCAGGGTATCTTAATATCTGAGGGTTGGCTATAGAGTCTTACCGAAACTATCTTTTTTTAAGGTGAATTGTGGCTTGGAAAGCTCAAAACATTGTTGAACTATCGTAAAACATCATCAATGGACCTGCTGGTAACTCTAAAATAGGTTAAAAACTTGTTAGCAATAGTTTGAACGAGATTAAAAACATTTGTATATGTGTGTGTTAAATAGCACTTGTAGACGCTCTCTTTGGTTTAGACACAACCTGGCTTGATATTATTGTAGGTTTACATTGTGAGGAGTCTCTTATATTCAGTCTTATTTAGAAGTCTCGTGTTTTGTATTGTATTAGGTTTTCATACCATAAATTCTCGTGACATTTTCTAATGATCTCACTTAAACGCTAGAGGAATTTTTAGCAAAGGCTCTTCCTCCAATTGTGGAGTCGTGTCGTTGCACGTTCGCCAGTGCACAGTCCAAGTAGCACTATGCCATCCCTAATTTTGACCACCAGGAGACAACCAGCTAACACTAATCACTTTTACTAAATACTTTATTATTATGTATTATTGTTTTTTTATTACAATTTATTTTTTATAATAAGGTTCCTGATATAAATGATTTTAATTTTTTTACTCCTATTGTATGCTTGTGAAGTTTGGCACCGACATTGTCACAGGCTCTCAACCTTTCAATAATCTCGTCAAAGTTCTTCAAGTAATATACTCAATTCAATTTGATTTAAGTAATAATGTTTGTCCATTTCACACAGTTTGGCATTCCCTCCACTTCCTTACTACTACCCTCTTTCCTCTACTTAATATTGGTATTTTTTAATACAGTTTTTAATTGGCAGTATTTTATTACTCTGTTTGTGCCTCGTATATTTAATATTAAAGATTTTCAGTGCCAATTTTGTTTATTTGTTCTAATTCTAGTGGCTACAAATTTTTTTTGTTGACTTCTGGAAGTTTAACAACAACTTTCACGTTGCTATTCACCTATATATTTGTAAACTTTATGTTTAGGTTTTCGATTTTTGTAAAAGCTCTATTTTTTTTTATAACAGCCGATGATTTCACGTTCAGTAAAACACCGCATGGACAGAGGGTAAGATATGGAGAGGCAGGGGACTGTTACAGTCTCGAAGAGTGCCCCCAAGGTCGTTTCTCTATTAACTTAAAGGGTACAGGTTTTATCGTATCCGAGGCCACTCAATGGGAAAAGTATGGTACCAGGACTACTATCAAACTACACATATTGGAGGTAAGAACCGCCATCTAGTGGCAGATGTAAATTATGATACCAGGACAACTATCAAACTACACACATTGGAGGAAAGAACTGACCTCTAGTAGAAGATATAAGGAGGTTAGAATAAAGAATCACTATTTTATGACCGATGTAAAGATGTTGTTAGATATAAGTACTGCACACTCTGATAGATTTCAAGATGGTAACGATAAGAACTTTCTAGTTTTACAACACATGTACTCTAAATTTAAACTTGTAATGACGATATTTTTTCGTTTGAATCAGTAGTATCAGGTCGCTATAAAAAAGATCTGATCATTTTTATATGGACGTAAAATAGTTATTCACGTTTGTTCCTTTATAAGAAACGATTCCAAGAATGTAAAATTAGGATGCCTTAACCTTTCCATTGTTACTCACTTGCTAGATTGTTTTTTTATTGTAACTAATTTCTTTGTTGTAACAACTTAAAAAATATTTTTATGGCGATAAGCATGTCAAAGATTTTTTATGACGATAAGCATGTTCAAGATAACCGTAAACGGTTTTATAGCATCTCTTTATGACTTACAATCGTCAATAGCGTGTAGAAACAATAGAAAATAAAGTATTAAAATATTTATTAAATTTACGAAAGAGTCGACAGATGGCAGTTATATCAACGCGAACATGTTTGTCTTTAGAAATAAATAGGTGTTCCTTTATTTGCTTGTTTATTAAAATATTATAAGATATAGAGAACTTGACGTTGTTGTTTTTTTCTAAATTCTGATATTCTAGAATGGTGAAATAGTCCAAGGTAAATGTGGTGGTTATTGTGGAAAATGTACACCAGATGTCAGTGGTCTCTCGTTAGATGTAGCACCACTTTGACCAAGGTAAAATTGTATTGTTGTTATAGTAACAAATATTATTATTTTTTAAAAGAAGTCGTACAGATAATTTGGAACTTGTAATAATTTTTAACAGTTTTACAAGACTTTACTGAAATATAACCCTAATTCCCTCTCTCACGGCTATTCAGGTTGGTTGAGAGAATAGTGTTCTTGTTTTAATCTATCTAAATAAAGTCTATAATTGCTCTTATATTTTATGTTTTGTTTTGATTGTTTACAAACATTTAGATTCATTACCATTCATTACAATAAAAATATTTTGTTATACTATGTGTGTTTGTCTGCGACCCACCTTATACTCCTTGTCACCCACGTGTCGTGACCCATAGTTTGTCAACCGCTGTTTACGTATCAACGTTGCTTCTCTGTTTTATTTAATATTAAATTCACAACTATATCTGACAACTGCTACAAAATTTTATAAGTATTTTATCTCTGATTAGAATTTTAATTCTCGAGTATGTTAACATCATGTTCTCATAAAATTCTGTAAACATCGTTATCTTAAAATTTTTTTGTCACTCAACCTTAAGATTTATTTTATTTAATCGTTAATCATGCTAGCTAAATTTAATATCTTCTTTCATATTGTAAGCAAATCGTCGTGTGATATGTGTTTTAAAAAAATGTATAAGTATTCAACTAATTTGAAATATCACCTTCATCTGTAAAAGTAATATTTTATCTTTTTCCCCCTTTTCAATCAGTAAGATTTTTTTTATGTACAGTTTTTGAAAGAAACAGCCATCGAAATAAGAATATCTACTTTAATTGGAAGTACTCCATGATTCCACAATACACGTTGCTTGGTATTTTTTCAACTAATTGATTAAAACTTACAAGTGAAAAATGTTTTTGAACCCTTGTCTCAGGCCTCCAGCCATTTCATCTGATTACTGAACCCTCTCGTCATTGCTAACTGTTCTTGCAATCTGATTTGAAAACCTTCTTCTCTGCTTGATGGCAATGCCATCTAATTAGTGAACTCTCCCACGTCTCTGCCTTCCAGCTGTGCGATCTAGACTTTCAGATTTTTTTGTTTTGTTTTTAACCTCCAAACGTTGAAAACATCGGTTAACCAACATTAATTCCCACATTGTTAAAATTCTGTTTTCCTGCAAAAAGATTCATATTTCAGGTTTTACAAATCCGTAGTTTTTAAAAACCTTTTTCCTGCCAAGGGTTCTCTTATCATTAATCATGGTAGTACTTAACAGTGGGGATCGTGATGAAACAAAATGGCGGCCATAAAAAATCGACCGTTTAAAACTACCTTATTAATATAAATATTATGAATATTAACAGTGACTATTTCACAGTATTGGCTGAGCAAAACTAAAGCTTATTGTACTTATAAAGTCGCCTAAATATATGTGTATATGGAATGAATCACTATTTCAACGAGTAAGTGAGTGACTTTTTCAGACAAGCGTACAGAAAAAATTACGAACATTATCTAATTCTTTCACAGAACTTTTCCGTCTGCGGTCCCAATGATTCTTTTCTTGTAACGAAAAGGGTAGGTTGGTAGAAATCCTGATGAGTAATAAAATCGAATCGGGTATATGTGCGCCCCACGCTTGGTATTGCTGGCGCATAAAAATATAGCTAATAATAAGAAAACAAACAAGTTTAATATAAAAGAAAAATTATAAAGACAAGTAGGGGTCGATAAACACGTAATCTAGCTAGCTATAATAATATAGAAAGTTTTAATGCAACAGAAAGTGTTGAAACAAGAAGGTAAAAACTACAAAAACTGAGTTAGTTAAAATTTAAATTTTTTTATCCCTTAAAAAAAATTATCCCTCCTATGGAAAATCACTGTATGTTAGTTTGAGCTAAAGTAGGGATAAAAAAATTTAAATTTCAAGTAACTCAGTTTTTATAGTTTTGACTTTCTTGCATTAATACTTTTCGTAGCATTAAAACTTTCTATGTTACTATCGCTAGCAAGATTACGTAGTTATCGACCCCTACTTGTCTTTATAATTTTTTTTTATTATAATTGTAAAAGATTCAAATTCTCTGAATACTATGAAGTTGGGGTGGGGGCGGCTCTAGTAACTGAATTTTATTAATTTTGTTTCCTCCTAATTTCTGCTCCTACTTAAAAAACCTACTAAAGATTCAGCCTACCCTGAGCTCCTGTTACAACTTAGTTACTTGAGTTAGCACTTCTCACGAAACATAAATATCGATACTATTATTCGATGACGAGGAACCCACTTTGAGACTAATAATGGTTGGAAACGGCTTGAATGGGTAATGAAGAAAAACTTAATATAAGTTTAACACAACAGCAAATGTACAACCTTGTCGAAACGTTATACTTGTATCAAAGTTTTCTTCATTACTCATTCAAGCCGTCTCCAACCATTATCGATATTATTAGTTTACTCAATAAACCTGTTGTTCTTGTATGAATTCAGTAGTCGCTATGATGGCAAGAAGAATGCGTAACGTAAAACGTTTCAGAAAAATTACAGTACACATTTCGGAGTTAAAATAAGACGAAAAACAATATTTGTTTAATAAACGCAATACAAACGAAAAGAATGAAGATTGCTAAACTTTAGTAAATACAGCTAGCGCCATCTACAAGGTTGAAATAATTAAGATAAAATTTTGTAATAATATAAAAATGAAATAAGGTTTGCGTTTTCGGGTGTCTTATGTTTACTTTCTTGCTATCATCAGAAAATTCACGCCAGATGTAAACATCTTGTTTTATTTTTTTTAGGTATCACATATAGAAGAGAGATTCTCCTGGATACCGGTAGTGGTCAGCAGGCCCCCCTGAGTACAGTATTGTTTTTAACACTTGTTCACTTGTAAAAAGCTCCCGTCATCGCTGTTATGTTTTGGTTTTTTAACCTATAGCACGTCACCATATGAAAACACGTCATATTTGGATTGCTAAAGAAAAGGATTTTTTTCCTCGCTCTGCGTTGACGAAAGGGTTGGTGGTTTAGCCACAAAAACTTAAATGTTTTGACGATTTCCGGATTGACAAGAAGGTAGCACAAAAACCTGGTTATCTTTTATCAAAAAGCATCATATTTCTTTGGTTATTTGTTGTTAGGGAGTATCACTTTTTTTTCTAATTATTTTCTGCCAAAAAATGTCACATATTCTGGTTACCTATTGACATCAAAATGTCACTTTTTTGTTGTATGTTGTTAAATAGTATCACACTTTAACTATCCATTGTTTAAAAATATTGTGCCATGGTTATTGGTTGATAGAACATGTTTAAAAGTTATTTGGTTACTTATCAAAAAAAGTATAAAATTTTCTTATCTTTTTTTTTAAAGTAATCAATTTTATTGTTAGTTATACGAAACTTTTAATATTTTATTCGTTTTTCAGGAAAGTAAATTTTCCGTAATTCGGTTGCCTAAACGGTATCACGTTTTCTTGTTATTCATTTAAGCAAGTATAACTAATGTTTGCCTTAAACGAATCTCTTTTTCTAGTTGGTTATTGTGATGTTACGAAAAAAAGTGGAATAATTTTGAATTGATATACTTATTCCCTGTTTTATTTTGTTTTTAGTGTGTATGATTATGGCGCATACAACTAACCACTCAATGTTTACAATTACCTTTTGTAACATAATGGAAAAAATACACTTACTTTTCAATGTTTCGTCAGCAGCATAACCGATTTTCGGGTTAATGATAAATTGGTAAACCATTTGAAAAATAAGTAATTAATATCAGACAACTAATACGTAGCTATACTTGGTAGTTTTGATTGCCTTGTGTAAAGTAGTACATTTTTAATTCTCAGCTGGGCTAATACAAGTATTAAGTTGGTATTTTATCTGCCTTACTCATCTTACTCCACTTGAATATCACGTTACTAATACGTGTGTGGATCCAGCCTTTTCTCAGTCTTATAGAGCATGCTTATTACAAATTTGTTTACGTGAGTATTCTTAACTATTTTCTGTATGCTATACAATTTACTCCATTTGAATATTCGCTTATCGATCCTGCAGATATGATTTAAATCAACATTTCTTCTCTGACACAAAATTCTTTAAAACTTTTATTTTTTTGGCATTTTGCATATTGTAATTTAAGTAGATAAAAAACGAAAAATTATTTATTGATTAATAACTTTAAATTTCATTTGTTGATAGTTCGTGAAATACCTTTAAATTAGACTAACACTTCAGGCGTGCTAAACATTGAGCTAGTTCTTATTCATCGTGTTTGTCAAAATAAAAACCATTGGTAACGGCTCGAACTCTGAAGGTATTTACATGCATTGCGTCTATTCCCAGTTCAATAAAATAAAAAATACAAAAAAAACGTATGCGTTAACTATGTTCCTTAGATTAATATTGATTCGAAAATTTCCACCGATATATGTAGTTTTCATGCTTTTAACATCTAAATGTGATTTTGAGTTATGTAATATGGTTTCAAATCTTCTCTGAAACTGCGTTGAGCTCTTATCAAGAGAAATTCAAGACGAAAACTAAGAATTAACCACAATATATAAGTCACAATAGAGTCGTCTCTCTCTCTCTCTCTGAATGGATGTTTTACCTGTATTATTTGTCATTTCATAATAGAAAAAGTAATGACCATAACCTCCAGGTGTCATGAAACCCGCCACACGGTTGAAGTTTCTATAGAAACTACATAGTGTTAAACCATTAAGATCTACTGCGACCTTTTCCGACCAATAATAGGGTAATAGGTCACTAGTAAACCATTAAGTTATGTTCGTATTATAACCAGTTCTCTATATTAAAACCTGTCATTGCGTGTATGTGTGAAATGTTTCAAAGATTCATTTGTTCAAACTAAAAGGGAAATAAACTTAGTATGCTTTTTATACTACATTTATCATTCCCTTGGCATTAGACCGTCCATAACGTTAACTACAAGTTTTGTGTATTGTTTTAAAATTTCCACACTTTCGTTAAAAAAATATAGTCCGCACGTTTGTCCTTTGTGTCATGTAACGAGTGATCGTATTTATGTTCTTAGATTACCTAGAATTTACCCATGTAAAGTCAAGGAAACGCACATTAATTAAGAATTTAACGAACTCGTAGGTCTTGAGTCTAACACCTGTAATGTCAAGCAAACACATTAAGAAAGTAACGAACTAGTAGGCCTAGAACCTACACCTGTAAATTTAAGCAAAAACACATTAAGAAAGTAATGAACTTGTAGGCCTACTGCCTATATCTGTAAACTTACACCTAACAAGATACTGATAAATCTGCCAACTCGTAGGCCTAGAGCTATAAATTTAAGCAAACACATTACGAAAGTAACGAACTTGTAGGCCTTGTGCCCATTTCTGTAAACTCATGTTAAAGAAATACTGATAAATCTGTCAACTCGTTGGCCTAGAGCCTACAACTGTAAAGTCATGCCAAACAAACAAATTAAGAAAGTAACGAACTCGTAGGCCTGGAATCTACACCTGTAAAGTCAAATCAACCAAACACTAAAAAAATAACGGACTCGTAGGTCTGAATTGGTTAGGCATACACCTTTAATCTCGCATCAAGCAAATGCTAACATATCTGTGAATTTGTAGGCCTAGTTTCAAACAAACATACAGATATACGAGCGTCTTTTACTTCCAGAAACTCGACACAGGACAGCGAATAAATTAAACTGGACAAAGCCTAGCACCACCTTAAAAAATAATAAAATGAGTTTTCACCTAGGAAATAAGGTGTAAATTATTTTGTGTTTGTTTGTTTGTTTGTTGTTATAATTTTCAAGTAACTTCAGGCAGTCTCTTTATTATATAATTATAATGTACTCTTTTCTTATATTTTTTAGAGGGAGAGTTTTGGTTGTGTTAGTTCTCCAATTATTTCTCAAAATTAGAATTTTTTATATACAATAAAAATTGTGATAATATTGTGTTTTCGAAATATTAGTAAGCTTCGCCCAATTAAAAACAAACTCGTAAAAACCCTTAAATAAGTATGGATAATCAAATGATTTTAAAATAAACATTACTATGAAATTGTATGTATTACATTAAAGCTAATTGGCCAATTGTGCGTTGAAACAAGAAGTTTAATTAACGGTTGCGGTAACTAATCACCTGTCTTCACTTTCTTAAGTTGATCATACAGTACAGAATCATCTTCAAGTGAAGATTTTTGGAAAAAGGAAAGTAGTCATGTCAGTACTTTCTTCAAATCGTTAATACTTTGATACACGTGACACAAGACCTATAGATACTTTTCACGTTGTGTCACTGAACATTGTTACTGTTACTACAGGAATTGAATCTCTCGGGATCTGTTTTTGAGGTCACTGCCATTTTTTACTTTATGTAGACCGTCTTTGCTCAAATATGGTGCTTGTTGAGCTATTGAAGAAAGTCACACTGCCCTTATATTATCAGTCATAACGACTCGGGGAAAAAAAAAGGTTAACCAGGACTGTATTTACCAGAGACTCCAAAGAACTTTTCTTGCCTTCGAACTTCATCTGGTTCATAGTGGGTAAGTTTCACGAGTTACCCGATTTGTTCTGATTGGTGTTACAGTCGTTGACTATCCACGGGGATAGTGGTCACTCGGAAATCGCTGAACAACAAAATCATATTGCCTAAATCCATACTTAAGAAGAAATCTCTCTGGTGTTCTATAAAATGTTTGAAAACCCTAATGTTTTCTGGTTTCTTTATATTAGACACTGTCGTAAGGAATTCAGTGATGAAGTTGCAATGTTTAACAATCAAATAAGTTAAACGTGAATGTGCCAAGAGCTTATTTTACTAGGTTGTGTTTTCTACATCTCTGTACATAGGCATTTCACTTAACATCTGTACATCTATATCCTAGTGGAGATTTTTATAAGTAAATCTTTTTCCAGTTCGTTTTGCCTTTTTTTAGTATGCAAAGTTTGACATTGTTATACGACTTGAAAGATAGCTTTTAGACTTTACTCGTTTTTGTGGTATCAGACAGTATGATAGGATTTGATTATATTATTTGTATTATTATTTAATTAACGAATGAGCTATCGTGTTATTAAGCTCTTTGTCATTGACGGCTGGAAGTGGAGAACCGTCAGTTTCACTATCGAAGTTTCTAGATAATTAAAGATTTGATTTGAAATACAGACACTTGTCTCGGGATTGAAAATTTTTAAGGTTTTTTTAACCACCACCTTTGGAACACTAATCAAACCACTATATATGTTATACTGTTTTGAACAGTGGGCTTGTATTAGTGAAATGGAAGATATATTTGTAGGTAAGTGTAAAGTACATCTATTATATATATTTAAAAAAAAAACTTGAAACTGACACTTATAAGGTAAACTCATCATTTAAAAAACAAACGCGAAAGGAAAGCATTTATCTCAACAAACTTCCAGCATAACAAGTTAAAGCTTTTCTTTTTATTGAGCACCACGCTTATGCCGTTAATATCATTACTGCATTAAATTACAGGTTGCCTTGTTAATTATATCAATAGTTGATACAACGTGTCAGGAATGTAATCATAGTTTGGTTTTGATTCAAAATATGGCTACTAGCCAGAATAGGATTGCTGTTTGATGTAGAAAGTTTTTAAGAAATCATCACTAATTGTTTTATTTTTCTGGAATACTTAAATATTACACATTAATTGTGTCGGCAACAAACCTGCGTTAGGATTAATCGATTATATGTGTTCTTTTTTGTGTCAAAGTCAAGGTCTAATAAAATATGCTTCTTTTTTCTTTTCTTTCTTTAAGTGAAGCGAGTTGTCTTTTCTGGATAATTGTATGTGACTATCATTTTACATTCAACAATGAGACATTTGCCAGTCTACATTTTCTGCAAGATTTTTTTAATTCCAGGAGTTTTTGGTTATTGTTTTTTTTTATGCAGCAAGGTTCAATAAACCACAGTTTTTTTTTGTTTTTTTTTCACATTCACGCTCAGCCAGCAACCATTGTTTCCGGCTAAAAAAATGACACGGATAGGGATATTTCGATGTCACGTCGAACTCCAATTTTGTTCTCTGTTTTCTCTAAGCCTAACAAAATGTCTGTTCTATCGTGTAATTTTTATACACTTTCGGGTGTGGGTATAGTTTGCTCTCATTCCCTCATAAATCGATACGTTCAGCTGTTGGCTATATCCTGCTTCCACTGAATACAAGTATGAGGTACAATTAAACCAATGACGACAGATATGAGGTACAATTGAACCAATGACAAAGTCTGTATTTATGTTTGGAATGCAACGTGTAGCATTTTGGTAAAATAACGTTTACTAACGCATTCAAAGTATTTTATTTTTTATCATAAGCCATAGCCAAATATTAAGTAAATTTATATTTTAGAAATTATACAGCTTTCATTATTTTATGCAAATTACGCATTTTTTATTTATTTCTGACACATAAAGCACAAAGTTTTATCGGCGAATTATTTATCTGACAAAAACTTTTTGAACAAGGTGAAATTGTAATTCGAGATTAATCTTGTTAAAATAAAACATCGAACCATCCCTCAGAACGAAACATAAAACTCGGTAATATATGAACCTAAAAATCAATAAATGAAAATTTTAGAAAAGGACATGTTCACACCAGGTGGCACTACTTTCAAGATATATTACTAATATTGTAAAAAAAAAAAATCATAAGCACTTCATTGGAACGCAATTCATTAATATAAATATATACATAAAATAATACAAAATACAATCTTAATAAATGAGAAAATATTTTGACTATTTCTTCATTGATGATGCATATGCAGGTTATTAGTTCCAGAATAAAAACATTTAAATTAAAATCGTGTAGATAGCCTTGCCCTGTTATAATAAGATATTGTTTCGGCATGGAAAGAGCAAGAAACATTTATGTTCTAAGCAAAATTACACAATTTACATTGTGAAAAATAGTTTTTAGATTGCTCACTAGGTTAAGTGATCTCAACCTGTGGTCGGGACCCCCAGGACTGGGAAGGGGAACACAAACGGTACATTTTTATTTTATTTTTCATATTTGTTTAACTAGTAAGTAAAGTTGCTTGTGTATAACTGTATTATCCTCACAAGAAATGTTCTTTTTCGATGTTTGAAAATTGGGGATCATAAGTTATTCTCGTCCCCATGAAAACCTCTACCACAATTAATGCTTCATAGCAGCAGTTTATGGACTGAGCTAATAAGAAACAAAGAGACTTCACCGACATCTTCCTACAGTTAAAGCTTCATTGTAATAAGAAACAAAGATTTAACTGTACGAAGATGTCGGTGAAGTCGCTTCATTGTAATAAGAAACAAAGAGACTTAGCCGACATCTTCCTACAGTTAAAGCTTCATTGCAGAGTTCGCTGTTTCTGTGTTGATTTTTTTGGAGGGGGGAGGGGGTAAAAGGGGAAAGTGGGCGAACGGTACGAATATAGAGACTTCCCCTTATATCTGTAGTTGAAGCTTCACAGTAGTAATTTGGGGATGAACGTTACGACCCACCTTTTTTTTTTTATCTAGTATATATTTTATAGCCGTAGTGATAATTCACCTTTCGCGTCTTCATGTAGAAGTTACTACAACATAATAAACTCAGAATAGAAAGAGAAATAACAGTAGATGTTATTATTATTTTACAATCTTTGGTAAGAGCGTAAGTTTACTTTTATCGGCTATTTATTGTTTACATTTCGCTGTCTGATCGTATTCTACGTTGAGAAGGGAACAGACACGAGTTCTTCACTTTGTGCGCTACACCACCTGGCGTGTAGCGTGGTTTGTGTCATTGATGGAAGCCAGGCACGTGCCGCAAGACTGGCAAAGAGGTTCTAGCACAGTGCGTACAACAGCTGTCCATACCTGTAATAATACAAGCTACGTGTTAATAATATTCAGGCAGTTGTCCAAACCTGTTAAAAATACGCGTTACAAGTAAATATCCAAACGGCTAACAAACTCATAATAACACTAACAATGGTTTCATGGTGGGAAAACGAAAATGAAAACGGTTGATAAAACACAAAACATTTTATTTACAAGGTTCGAACGTTTCGGAATACACTAATTCCATCTTCAGCGAAATCGGAAAATCGTGATAAAAAGATGATTATTAACTAAAATTATAATATAATATCAAAATCACTAGTTAACTTAGTTATCAAGAGAAGTCGTAAACGGACGGATAAAACTATAATTATATATATATATATATATATTACACAGTAGTTGAGTTAAGGTAAGTGTGAAAACTTAGAACAATTTTAGATCCAAAGAGTTTTGTGAGTCGTTAAGAGTCGGGCGGTCATTAGCTACGAGTAAACTTTCTTTAATGTAGAATCCAAGGTCTGAACATCCTGTAGTAAGGATAGTTTGGTTTGTTTTGAATTTCGCGCAAGGTTACACGAGGGCTATCTGCGCTAGCCGTCCCTAATTTAACAGTGTAAGACCAGAGGGATAGCAGCTAGTCATCACCACCCACTGCCAACTCTTGGGCTACACTTTTTACCAACGAATAATGGGATTGATCGTCACATTATAACGCCCCCAGGGCTGAAAGGGTGAGCCTGTTTTGTGAGACGGAGATTCGAACCCGCGACCCTCAGATTGCGAGTCGATCGCCCTGACCACCTGGCCATAATAATAGAGAAACTCGTTCAATGAAATACTGCGACCCGTGGTTTCAGAACGTGAACGAATGAATGAGTGGCTGGGTTTAAGTAGTGGACGGTCGGTTCTGTTAGATACTCCTAAATGTTCACGGATTTTAAGTGTCGTTTTGTTTTGCTAATGTACGTGACCTTAGAGTCACTACACGTATATTTATAAATGAATCATGAACACAGAAGTTTAGATAGTTGATCTTTGTACTGAAATAAGTGTTTAATGCTGAGGCTAGGTCTGTATATTATTCTAAGCTGAATTTGACGGTGGAAGTTTTTTTATTAGGGAAGAGAGTTGTTTTTAACTGGTAGGGATTGTGGACACGACTCCTAGAGGATGAACTGAAACATAAGCACTACTGGCAACATCTATTTATCCTTGGACGCCAAGATCTCCGAAAGTGCGTTTTGTATATTGATTTTATGCGTTAATCCATAAGAATAACCAGAAAATAACAACAAGAGAGGAATAAGAACAAAATAGAAAACTCCAAAAACTGCGACTTTATTCATTTTCATCCCCAGGTTTTAATCCTGATAATGTAATCTGAATGATCTTCAACTTGATGATATTTGTAAACAAACTTTAATCAAAGGCCTTAACTTTAGCATTCCAGCCTTAAAACTAAACTATGCTAATTACATTTACAATTTTGAAAAATCTTACAGAACCCTTACTCCTTTCCAGTGTTAACTAAATTGAAAAACGATACAGCACAAGATCTTGTAAAAACCAAACGAAAAAATATTGCTCTCTCCTCATTCTACAGATATAATTCCTATCGGCCTACCTCTTCATTAAACGATGTTAAACTACAAGCCCTTGAAACTCTGTCCAAAAACAAAGACATTATTGTTACTAAACCAGACAAAGGTAATGGTATTGTCATTATTATCATTATGATAAAATAAATCACTAGCTCAGTGACAATTGTAAATTTAAAAAACTAGATACAGACTTGTTATCTCTAACCTTTAAGAGAGAAGATAAGATCCTACGTTTCCTCCAGATCCTCAAAAGTCAAAATATTATCTCTGAAACGACTTTTCAACAAATTGCCCCATGTGGCACCAAACCTGGTATTCTTTATGGTCTACGCAATAGTACACAAAACTGATTACCTCCTCCGCCCTATTCTCTCAGCTGTAGGCTCTTGCGACTACAACCTATCTAAATTTATCATTCCTATCCTTAAACCCCTTACGTTGAACGAATTTACGATTACCGACTCTTTTTACACATGCTTCTGAAATCTCTAAAACTCCCTCTGCTAATCCATATGTTATGAACAGTTTTGATATTGAATCTCTGTTTACCAATATCCCCCTGGCATGGCCAGGTGGTTAGGATGCTCGACTCGCAATCTGTGGGTCGCGGGTTCGAATCCCCATCACACCAAACATGCTCGCCCTTTCAGCCGTGGGGGCATTATAATGTGACGGTCAATCCCACTATTCGTTGGTAAAAGAGCAG